ACACTTTAATTCCATGAAACTTAATACCCGTTAGTCACAATATAACTTTAACAGATCACTTTAATTGACTAATATCCTTTAAATAATAGCATCACACATTCACACATTTTAATATACATCTTGTGGACTCATATATGTTGAAAATATCCAAGGTTTACAACTAGCTTTGGCTTCAGCAAGGATTAACCCAAAATGGTATGTTGTTGACAAAGTAAACTGTATCTACTTGAATACTAGCAATGGAAGTGTGTGGTACATTGAGGAATATTGATTGGGATCTGTAGGAATGATTTGTGGTTGTGGGTTGATGATGCCTCGTGGGTATTTGTGGGTACATTTTGTCCTACTAGAGGGATGGAGAAATTTCAGCTGGCATCATCAAGACTGGACTAAAAAACTAGAGATAAAAAGGGCTTTGGGAATCAGAATCCTTTTCTTCCTCTTATGTGCTTCATCTTTTTATGTTGTCTGTCTTCATCTATGCTTTAAAACATTCTCCTCAATCTGGATTTAAGATAAAGGGATTAGAAAAGTTTGATTGTTGGGATGTTGCATGTTACCCTTTTGTTGTTTGTCTCAGTAAAATGGTTGATATTCGCGTTGAAATATGGAATCTTGCAAAACGACATTAGTACTGTTTGGTTTTTTGCTCCTCTGTATTTTTCCTCACTTTTGGAGTTGCAAAAGGGTGAAACGAAGTCATTTTAAGACAATTCTTTTTAATTTGGCACGGTGAGGAGAAAGTAACTCATTTTTCTAAATTTGAAACTCGGAGAAAGAAATGGAAATCTGCCATTTCAACAAAAGATTGATAAGATTTGATATTCATGATAACATGCTAAGTCCTTGTTTAACGAAGTTTTTCCTTTTTTTTTTTTTAGACTATAAGTTCGTCAAATTTCGTTTTTCATCTCACATTTCGTTGAATTTATAATATTTACACTTTTAATCATAATATTTCATGGATCTATTAGCTTATAATATCAAAAAGCTTTGTCAAAAAATATATGATAAATTATATTGATTATTATATTTAGAGTCCGTTTAGGGGTAGACTTTTGAGAATCGACTTTGTCAAAAAAAATTAAATTAAATTAAAATGTGTGGTTAAAAAGTAAAAATTATAAGTTTATATGAAAAATTATTTTATTGAAAGAATTTACAATTGAAAATAAGCCCCCATTTGGTGTACATTTTGAAGGTAAGAATGCATTTTTATTGTTAATGTGATGGAGAATATGTGGTTGGAAAAGAAGAAAAAGTTATTGATATGATGAAAAATATTATTTTATTGAAGAATGTGTTATTGAAAATGAGTAAAAGAATGATAATGAAAAAAATAATATGGACCAAACAGGCATAAGTTTTAAAAAGTTCTAAAAAATCTACACAAATGAGGACCTTAACTTAAAAGTAATAAACACGATCATCCATGAACAAGTTTATAGCACCATTATTCTGTGTTGTAGACGGAGCTGGATGGATAGGAAATGGTCCATGAAACGTCCCATCAGCTCTTATAACTGATATTAGATTTGAGGAGATTGAGGTTGCCTTGTCTCAATGATTCTCTTCTCTCCTTGTGTCTTTTCACTTCTTGTTCAAGTAACCACTTTGATTTACCAGACTATTTGACAGATGCTCTGTGTAGTCTGGTGGTGGTGCGTTTTTAAGAGAATAATTTTATTGTGCTAAAGAATCAGTTCAGTATTTGGCGAATATTTATTTCTTCTTTGTTGTATGTTTTAACAACTTTACTGTTGTGCTTGTATATAGATAGTACATAAATGATCTTTTGCCTACTATGGATCGGAATTATCTTGTCCACTGTGGACGTGGCAATATCCTGTGTTGCCACATGGCAACACCCTATACACGTAATATATATTTTTATTTGTGTAACTTATAATTTAGAGTGTTTGGGACGCATTCTTTTGAAATAATGTATTATTGAATAGTAGATTGATGGAGAATGTGTGGTTAAAAATGAAAGAAAAATTATTGATGTAATGGAAAATATTATTTTATTCAAGAATGTGTGGTTGAAAATGAGTAGAAGAATGAGAATGAAAAAAATAATGTGTACCAAACAGAGCCTCAGTCTTGTTTTGAAAAGGGTAAGGGTCCATTTGATAGGTAAATGTGGAAAGGAATTTCAATTCTATGTTAGTTGAAAAATAAAAATCCACTAAACCCATAGAAATTAGTTTTTCATGAAAACAAAGAAAATGCAGTTTAAAGTGGTTGTACTTTGGAATTCGATTTCAATTTTCACATTACAATCAAACTGCTAAAGTGAAATTCGTTTTCTTCGGATGTGACATTTTTCATGAAATTCGTTGTAATCAAACAGGGTCTAAAAGTTGAATTTGAAGAGCTACAATTTCAATGTGCCTTAGATTATATTACTAGATGCTACTACTTCAATAAGCAGTTATTTTAAGTTAATCATACATTGAAAATTTGGCAAGCACGAGTTGGGGGCTCAGAAAGCAATTCCCAACGGATCCTACGTTAAAACTGTGTTCCATTGTACACTAATAAGTGTGTGATCTGAAATTTTTACTCAACAATACTGCATGACTCCAAGTTGATCCATTTTATGAAAATTAGAAATTTGATTTGATTAAAATAAATACAAAGGATTCACCATTTTTTGAACTTAAAAAGTACGGTTGGCTACTATCTTAATTATGACTCTGATACTTTTGTCAACTTTAAAGACATTTTAGCAAAATAAAAGTGGAATTTGCTGAACTTTTTTGGTAATTATGCAAAGGGAATTTCTCGGTTTGACCCGGCTTCTCATTCATCTATTGTCCCTTTATATAGTTTGATGGACTCGTGTGTGCCATCTTGGTCATATCAAGTTACGATTTCCCTAACTAGGACCACATGTCATCATCCCTTCGAACGAATTTGATTGGTTGGTGAGTTATGTAGTGGCTAGGTTATCATGATATCTAAACCGTAAGCCTTGTCCTAGGCAATCTTGTACCTTCTTGATTGGTTGGTTTGGAGGTGCTATCAAGGAGGAGCACTTCATCTATCATGTCACGATGATGTTTCCATACAACATTTATTATAGTCCAATTTCGACCTCAATCAAAGGGGTCTTGGATCATGGTTTCGAGATTACCTGTCTGATTTCTTTGACACGAAAGCCCTTTAAATTAAGTCAATTAGAATCTTCAAATGATCATACATGAATTTTAGATAGACAACAAGTACAAATGAATGAGTCCTTGTTTGATTTTGATTATTTGAGAATTACATATTTTCCATACTTATTTTCAACTAAACATTAGAAAATAATTCGTGTCCTTTATTTTTCATTTTTTTAACCACATATTCATTAAAAAATACATTTTTCAAATAACCAATCCTCAAAAATCAAAATCAAACAAGCCCTAAATAATCAGACACTACTCAATACAATAATTTTTGACAATGCTACAAGTATAAAAAGTTTTCACACATTTTTTGATAAGGGCTTTGCTATTTGTACATCATAATGTATATCGGGGTGTACACCCCCTCACATGGGAGTGAGACCCGCTTAAATAAAAAAATATTTTATGCAGTGGATTCTACCTCCCATGTGAGGAGGTATAGCCCTTATTTACAAAAGTTGATATACAAGTAGAATTTTTCTTTTGGCAATAACACATGGTGCAGTTCCTTTAAATACCCTCTTAACCATTCATTACACACGGAATTATTCACTATCGATATTAATTTTTACATACATCGTGGCGCAAACCAAACAGGGGCTTAATGCGAACTGCCCTGACCGATCTTGGCTCGCAAGTAGGATGTTTCTTGGAAGACACTGCATGTACAGTGTAGAGAATAGAGTCTAATAAAATAGCTTAGCACCATATAATGACGCGAATGTCGTAATCACTGCGCTCCGATTAGTCACACGATGACAGATTGCCCTAGAAAGCAGCAAATCAACTCCCTCCCTCCCCCCTGATCAGATCAGATTGGTGTACGAATCACTGCTTTACTTTATCGAATCCCATCAGATTGTTTGCAACAGACTCCCAAGAAATCTAAAGAAAAACCATCCACAAATGTCTATTTCTTTTGCGTGTTTGCATTGCCTTCACTTTTCAGAAAGGACATCTCTGGGAAAGAAAGACCTAACGGTGCCTGCAGTGAGAAAGTCAGTATCCAATACACACATATACATGTAACAAGGCCAAATCATCATCAACTTTTTGCATTTTACCACATCTTTAACTTTCGAATTATGCTACATATGCTACAGCGCCATATACTTTGACAGAATTCTCGATACTACATAATA